CCCCCCCCCGCCCCGCCTGCCCCCCCAGGGCCCGGCCCCGAGACCCCGGCCGCCCCCAGAGCCGGCCCCCGGCCCGCAGGGCCGCCCCGAGGCCTGGGCCGTGCCCTCACTCCCGATCCCACCGGAGGGATCGCGCCCCCTCCCCCAACCAGGGCCCTCCCTCCTGGGCTCGCCGCCCGTCCCTGCCGCGGGCACCCCCAAACCCGGCCTCCGGGCCCAGCCTGCCCTTGCGCCGCCCCACCACCCGGGCTCTGGGTGTGTTCCCGGGCCCCTGCTTCGGCGCCCAGCTCGGTGGGCCCGTCCTCCCCAGCCCGGCCCGGGCCATCCTAGAAGCCGAGGGGTGTCAGCGGCTGCCTCCCCGGCTCCTGAGAAGGGGCCCGAGGCCCCGGGGTGCGTGGGGCGCGTCCTCTGCATTCTACACTGTTGGGTGGTCCCTGCACGCTTTTCCTTTTACTGGGCGCTCTTCGGGGGCGGGCTGGGGAGCTGATCCTGAACGGGGGTTGGTCAGGCTGGAGGCCTGGGGTCCTCCCAGGAGAAAGGGGGCGCCCTGGTATGCACCCCACTGCAGAAAGCCACAGTACTTGCTTTCTCTTTCCCAGATGTGTTGGGTTTCTGGGGTCCCTTTGACCCTTCCCTGCGTTTTCCTTCCCTGTTCGGACTCTGCCCTGAGACTGAAATGAATGGGTATCTATCTGTCTGTACACAAACCTGGGAGGAGGGGAAGCCTATCTTCCTGTTTTTCCCTTTCCAAGGGTGTACAGGTGGCCTTCCGAGCCACAGGGAAGCCCTTGAAACAGGCCCTTGAGTCACCATTAAAGGTTTTCAAAAACTAGATGGACAGAACCAGATCTTGGAAAGGGGAAAGGACACAGCTTCCACCCTCTCTTTCTACCAAGCTTGGTCCAAAGAACATGGTGGTGATTATTCAGTCGTGTACCTTTTACTTCTAAAAGTATCCCGTTATGGCTACAGACGAACAGCCCCATCTCTGCAGGAAGATCCACGTCTGGCCCAACTGTCATTCTTTCTTTGGTTCACTTAATGTGTGTGTGGCGCTTCTTGGAAGGGGTGTGTGTGTGTGCGCGGGTGCGCGCGCGCACACGCTTTCTGATCAGTTATCGGTGAACAAGATTTCCTGTTGTTTCCCTTGAGGGATGATACCTCTATTGCGTGGTCTCCCAGTTGGGTTCTCCTATGCGCTACTTTCCTGTGAGCTGATATTTTAGAAACCAGTTTGGGGATAAAACATAGCAACTTGAAGAAACAGTTTTTCCTAAGGTCATGATTTTGTGTTTATAGACACAATCCAAAAATTGTATCCCTCTCAAAAACAATTCATATTGAAAGCTCTCAAAAACCAAGTAGGCTTGCTTAGTTTGTCGGTTTTCATTGCCATAACCATAGTGACCCAATTTTGTTTCCCCAAGTAGCAACTACCTAAGGAGATGGCTCCTTTTAGCCAAGGGAGTCATGAGAGCCTTGTACACTGACTCTGCAGCCCGGAAAAACCCTGGTTTTGCAAGTGAATTTCATAACCGAATCTAGATAAAATGTCTCCAGTCAAGTTGCTGCCAACTATCAAATGATAAACCCTCCTACTGCCAAAACAAAAACAAAAACAAAAAAACCCCACCAGACTCTTTTTACGTAATCCTTTCTTCTTTTTCTCCATTTTGTTTGCCTTCAATGAAAGAAGCAGAATCTTGGAACCAGAAAGGCCCTTGAGGGGCACACAGGGTTGGCCTGCACCAGTTTACTATGGGAAGGGAGGCCGGGCCTGCTGAGGCTCCTGGACTGGCCTGGGGGCCATGGCCCTGGGAGAAGCCCAGTCTCTGACCTCGAGGCTAGTACCACACACAACGTGCTTCTAAAGCCTGGTGTTCCTCTCCTGGTACAAATGGAGGGAACCGCACAAAGCAGTAGCGTCGTAAGAGGGCACGCGCTGCCTTAAAAAACGGAGAAACAGCGTCGACCAAGGCTGCGTCTGTCGGGCAGTGCAGGCTCCTGCTGTCAGTTTTTCAGCACCAGAGCCCACCTTGATGGTGACAGCTGTCAGCGGACCCCTCTGTGGCCCTCTGTGGGTGACTCAGGAGGGCGGGGCTCAGCATGCTGTCACAGCCAAAGTTAGGAGCCTCTTCTGGCGGCAGGCTTGGTGCGAGAGGAGGATGTGGACAGACAGTGGGGTGCAGAGCCAAAGCAGTGGCCTCCTATGGACAAAATCTGGGCGCTTTTGTTTTTAACATTTACCCACATAGTACTAAAACAATAAAGGTGCTGCGAGTCCGGCTTTTAAGATGAAAATGATCTAATTTGAAGGGACTGGGGAAATGTCAGCAAAGTCACCAGTCATATAATATGACATATCTGTCTTTTCTAACCTTGTCTTCAGAAAACAAAAGCAAAAATGAAGTGACAGGATTTGGTCAGAAAGTCTGGGCTGCCGTGAACAGGACCTCAGAAGGGCCGTGTGTCCTCTGAGAGTTATGACAGTAATCCCGAACCTTCGATGCACCCACACTGGGCCAGGTCCTCCGTATATACGACTCCTGCCGCCCCTGGATCCCGGAGCTTGACCATAGCGTTTCCACCTTTAGATACGGAGAGGGAGGTCTGTGTGGTCTCGCGCAGCACGTGGTGGGTCAATACGTTGAGTCCACGCGTGGATTGGCTGTCCTGCGACCTTCCCTTCAGGTCTGCAGAGGCGCGAGCGCAGGGTGAGTGGTCTGGTTACTTCCCGCTGGCAGGCTCTGCCCGAGCTGCCTCTTTGGCATCAAGCTCCTTGCCCTGCGTGGCCAGGGACAGTGTCCTCCTGCTGGAGAAAGTACTGAGAGTGCTCTGTGCGGGAGCTGGGCATTCGGAAGCCGTCTGAGACTGGTCTGAAGGAGCCAGAGACTAATGAACTCGGCAGTCCAAAATTATGCACGTGCCCTGCAGCTGGAGCTCGCTGCCAGTCTGCAGACTGTAACTTGCAAGCACATTTGCACCAGTAAATAGGAGTATTAGCACTTAATGGGTTCTACCTGGTGGTTCGTCACCAAGGTGACAGATAAGCTGCATGAGGCCTTGCTCTCCAGTGTGGCCTTTGGTTTTTTTTTTTTTTTAATAAAGTTATTTATTTATTTACTTATTTTCGGCTGCATTGGGTCTTGGTTGCTGCGCGCGGGCTTTCTCTAGTTGCAGCGAGCAGGGAGGGGCTACTCTTCGTTGCGGTGTGCGGGCTTCTCATCGCGGTGGCTTCTCTTGTTGCATAGCACAGGCTCTAGGTGTGCGGGCCTCAGTAGTTGTGGCTCGCGGGCTCTAGAGCGCAGGCTCAGTAGTTGTGGCGCACAGGCTTGGTTGTCCCGTGGCATGTGGGATCCTCCTGGGCCAGGGATCGAACCTGTGTCCCCTGCATTGGCAGGCGGATTCTTAACCCTTGCGCCACCAGGGAGGTCCCTGGCCTTTGGTGTTTTTACCTGTCCTCTGGCAGGACAGAGCCAGTCCTGGAAGCTGTCACCCCCAGGAGCTCCCCTTGGCCTCTGGTCAATCGCCGGAGAGCTAGGATGGCCTTGGCAGGACACTGAACCGGGCATATACAGCCCCCAGGTCTCAGGGCTCTGGATTAACAGTGCGTGGATGACCGTCAGTGTGGTAGGGGTCTGGTGACAGTGGTGGGTGGCTGCTGAGTATTTTCCTCTTGTTCCTTTGCTCTGTCACCCCCTCCCCAGCAAGGGCTTCCTGCCTTATGCCGAAAGGAGTGGGGAGGGCAGGGAGGAGCCGGCTGACTCACTCTGCCTTGCCCACCAGTCTTCGTCTTCAGACAGGAGGTTCAGAAAAGCCGCCCCGCCTCTTCTGGGTGGTGGGGTGGAGGCGTGCGGGCGGGGGCTGTGGCTGGTGAGGCTTCTCCCGGAAGGTCAGGTGCAGCCTGGAGCTGCCTTCCTATTGGTAGGCGCTTTGTCCCAAGTGGGTTTTTAGTAAAGAAAGCCAGGCCATCTCTCCAGCTCAGGACCAGCTGACATCTCTTCCTGGACCTCGAGGTGCTGCGTGACCCTACAGAGCAGTGCTCAGGGAGACTTACTGGGGGTTCGGGGGTCTCGGTGGACGCACGTGTGTGAGTCACTGAGCTCCAGTACCAGCCCTGACTCAGCCTGATGTGCGGGAAGTCACCTGGCCGCTGGTTCTAATCTTCTGGGACGTGCAGGCTTGAGCTGGCCCTTGAGAAGGGCAGCCCCAGTCCTCGGTGATCAAGGAAGTCTGACTGCCTCTCTCCTCCGCCTCCAAGTTCTCATGAAATAAGAATTGCAGACTGCTTTCCTCAGGTCCCTTTTGTCCTGAACACTAAGACAAAGTAGTGGGACATGATCGCTGTATTCCCAGAGTTGTCCCAGGTCAGGTGTAGCTACCCCAGTGGAGAGAATGGGTGACCGCCCCGTGGGTGCACGGGCAGCAGGCAGCCCCCGGCCTTCGGGCCCTTTGTGTGAGCGGGAGGCCGGCTTAGCACGTGCACCGGCCAGGTGGCTTCTGGGTGCCTGCTTCGGGGGCTCTTCTGCTGTGCCGAGGGGACACTGTCTAAAGCAGCATGACGTGGGTTCAGGGGCCACACGTTGAGACCAAGATGTGTGTAGGCAATAAGATTAAAATTGGCTCTGGTCTCATGTTATATCACACCTAGTTTTTTTCTTTCTTGTTCAGTGCAAACAGGTGCCCATTAGCAGGTGGCTGGTTAAGAGAGGCTCCGGATCGGCCTGACTTATAAAATCGTCAGCCCTAAACCTAGGCCACGTATGACTTTGAAAATCAGATTCGTGCTTAGTTCAGAGCACAGATGCCTGAACTTCTGCTGTGCTTTTCCAAAGCAGAGAGACGTCTGTCTCCTTGGCGTGTCTGCACGCAGCGGGAGGAGTGAATTACGTGTCCGAAGGGAACCTTCTCTGGGCCGCTCTTTAATCCTCTTGACCCAGACACTCAAATTAAGACGCGTCACGGAGGCTTTAAACACTGTTTCTGTCTCGTCTCGTGGGCTGTGGCGCAGTGGGCGCGCTCCCCCGCCCAGGAGTCCGAGTCTGCACAGCCGTCCGGTGGGGCTCTGCTGGCCTCGCCGTGGCTTCTCCCCAGTTTCCACGTCGAGCTGAGGCCTGTGTCGTCGCTCGGGCTTCTGGGCTGGGCCTTGACACGAGGGCCAGGGCATCAGAGCTGAGGGGGTGCTCTTTGTGTCTCGATGGGCTGGGTGATTACACCGTTGCTGGGCATTTTGAAATCATTCGGGCCACGAGGCAGAAACGGGAGGGCATGTGGCATCAGCTGTCCCCGCAGCCCCCGATCTGATGTGTTTCTTCTCTGCGTGGACTGCAGAATTCATATAGGAGTATTTGGGACCTCTTTTTTTTTTAAACAGGGTCCTTTCCCTTTCCTTTTCTCCTCTGCTCATTAAAGTTGGAAAGAATCTTCGCCACCATGGACACAGCTGTCCTCACTTTTAGAAGGATGTAGAGACCACTCCCCCTCCCCCCAAAGTAACTCAGTCTGTCTACAGTCCACAGTGTGCTGGCTGGTGGGTGTCAGAGCCAGGATGAGAACCCTGAGCTCCAGTCTCCGCCCATGCTTCTGTGCCCGTACCTGCGTGCTTGACTGTCTGCGCGTCTGTCTCTCCCTCACTGTGACTCTGGCACCACTTCCGTGGGGGTCAGGGGCTGAGCAGACGCGACAGCTCGGGGCTCAAGCTCCAGGACTGGAGGGGAGTGGACACCTGGCTTGTCACCTCTCTCTCCTCTGCTCCCAGGCCAGCCAGGCCAGGCTGCCGTGGCCCAGGTCCCTGGAGGAGGGGAGGCTTCTCTGCAGACCGAGCCAGAGGTGATCGAACTAAAGGCTGGTCTAAGCAGCCCGAGGCTCGTTAACCCTGTTGGACAGCTTTAGCGCTTCCTATGACTTGTAAGCAGCTCTTCAAAACACCAAAAACGAAGAAACGCTCACATATACACCTTTGTTTATTCCACCGACAGGTTTAATCGGCCTAAGAAGGGCTGTGACATTCATTGAGCTGTCCCTTTGAGGAGTCAGACTCACAGCTGCCCTTTAGACTCTGGCTCCTGACATGTCACTCGTGTGGGTGGGTCTCCGATCTTTCTCCCGAGTTCCTGCTGTGTTAGCATGTGTCCTAGGGTTTCTTTCCCTTTGTACCTCAGCTTCGAATGCCTGGTAAGAGAAGGTGCGTGCAGTTCACCCGAATGACATTTGTACCTCAGTCTCGCCTTGCCTCTTTGTGTCCTAATCACCCATCTTAAGTGGCGCAGCTCGCAGGGGGCAGGCGGCCACGTCTGGAGGTGTCGGGCTGTCGCGGTTGGAGCGAGGCCGCTCACGGCAGCTAGTGGGCAGAGAGGCTGGGGAGGCTGCTCGCAGCCCTCGGCACAGGACGCCCCACGACAGAGAGCGAGCTGGCGCGGAGGCAGTAGTGCCGCGGCGGAGACGCCCTCGACGGGTCGCCTCCGAGGGCCGGTCCAGTCTGTCGCTGGGCGGGTCTGCCTTGCCCACGCCCTGTGTCCTGTGGCAGTCCCACGCGTGACGACTGTAGTTGCCACACACACGTCAGCTGAGATGGCAGAGGAGGTCGGGTCAGGCCCGGGGCATCGCCTTCGGGCGTCTTCATCTGCCGGACGGAGGCCTGGGTGGTGCCGCGTCTGGACCCGCCGGGCGGTGCTGGGACTGGGCGCCGGGCCCCTGACCCTCGGCTTTCCGTGGCCCCGCAGTTCCTGCGAGTCACCAAGCAGTACCTGCCGCACGTGGCACGCCTCTGCCTGATCAGCACCTTTCTGGAGGACGGCATCCGCATGTGGTTCCAGTGGAGTGAGCAGCGGGACTACATCGACACCACCTGGAGCTGCGGCTACCTGCTGGCCTCCTCCTTCGTGTTCCTCAACCTGCTCGGACAGCTGAGTGAGTGGCGCCGGCGCTCGGGGGCCTGTGCGTCTGCAGCTCCTCGCGCCAGGCCAGCAGCCCGGGCCTGGCAGTTGGGCCTGCCGGCGCGCGGGTGCGTGCTCTGTGTTTGGTCCTGGCTGCGTTGCTTTGAGGCCCTGTGATCAGTGCCCAGAGCAGGAGGTGCTGGAGGTGGGGGCACCTGGGTGGGCCAGCGAGGAGCTGAGGCACCCCAAACCCAGGGTGTCTGGAAAGGATCAATAGGTAAACAGAGAAGGGGGAGCATCAGACACCAGTGCAGCTGCGTCGGCCTCGGGTCTGCCTTCCACCCCTGCTGGCCGTCTTCCGGCGGCAGCGCTCCCTCTCTCGCACATTAGGGGGCAAGGACGGGACTTGCACTTGCCAGCCTGTCCCGAAGCTCCACAGTTGAGCTTCTTTCTGATGGACTGACTCTGTAAGCAAGGGACCCACTTTCCGGGCCAGTGTTTTTGATGAGTAAAGGCCAGTGGACGCATGTGTGTGGCCCGTGCCTACCATGAATCCTCCCAGAAGATACTTTTTGCTTGGGGGCGGGCGGTTGGGCTGCCGCTGCGCCAGAGGGCCAGGTGAGGTGGCCACGGTCCCCTGACCCTCGCCCTTCTCCTTTGCAGCCGGCTGCATCCTGGTGTTGAGCAGGAACTTCGTGCAGTACGCCTGCTTTGGGCTCTTTGGCATCATCGCACTGCAGGTAAACGGCACGTGGCTGGGGTCTCACTCTCGCTCTGGTTAGAGCAGAGCTTCTGGCGAAAAGGCATTTGTGAGGACTCAGGCTCACTCCCCTCTCAGCCCTCTGTGTGTCTGTCTGGAACTCCTTTTCTCTTCTGAGAAATTGCTGGATTTTCCTCCATGCCAGCCGTGGAAACTCAGGAGAGCCAGACAGCCGAGCACCCTGGGAAGGGGCCGAACTCCGGGCATCCACCTTTTGCCACTTTCCTGAGTTCCCTGTGACAAGGGGACAAGTCACGGGGTCGGCTGCAGCCAGGACACGGTCTTGTTAGCATCTTACTTCACAAAGAAGAGCACCTAGCTACTCACGTGAGATGTGTCACACACATCTACTGTAGACCGCTGTCTCAGAGCCGCCATGTTCTCCAGAACGTCCTGGGCCCCGCTCTGAGGAGGCGAGGGCTTGTTGGATCCGGGGCCACTGCTGCCCCGAGAGATGCTGAGCTTGGGGCCGTCGGGGTCCTGAAAGGGTTCTGTGCATCTTGTACTTAGATTCTCACCTACGCTGGAAGAACTGCCTGATGCTGTTCATTCTGTAGAAACACAGATGCCTGAAAATGCCGACACTCAGGCTCCTCTCTCTCCTCTGTTCCCCTTAGACGATCGCCTACAGCATTTTATGGGACGTGAAGTTTCTCATGAGGTAGGTGCCTCTGGCTGGCGACTTAGTGCACTTCCCTCGTGTCTCTAAACACAGGAACTGTTGGTTGACGTAAGTTTCTTTGGGTCCAAACCATGCTTCTTAGACTCTGTAGCGGACGCTGGTGAAGCCTTTTCCTTCCCCACCCACAGCCCCCAGGGCAGAGGTGAGAACGAGGTCATCCCTCCCGACCCCGCATCTCATGAGGGCGACGAGGGCCCAAGTCAAGTACTGGCTCCCAGGGACCCGCTGGTCGGCAGGAGAGCCCAGGCCAGGCCATCCCGAGGGTGGCGCGGAGGCATCCGTGTCTCCGGTCGTGTGGGGCTTCCCTGTCCGTGGGTGTCACCGGAGTCCCTGCTCCTGCCGGGCGCTCACAGAGCCTGATGAGCCTGAGCGACTAGTGTGGCATGTCCGTTCCTCAGGAACCTGGCCCTGGGAGGAGGCTTGTTGCTTCTCCTGGCGGAGTCCCGTTCTGAAGGGAAGAGCATGTTCGCGGGCGTCCCCACCATGCGCGAGAGCTCCCCCAGACAGTACATGCAGCTCGGAGGCCGGGTCTTGCTGGTCCTGATGTTCATGACCCTCCTTCACTTCGACGCCAGCTTCTTCTCGGTAAGTGTTCCTGGTCGGGTCCCTGTCCTTCTAGAAGGGGTGCTGCCCCCTCTCTTCCCGGCTGTGCACTAAGCATAGCTGAGGGGCCATCGGGATGATCCTGTTAAAGGAAACAACGCTGTCAAGCTCTTACGCACCAAGAAGCTGCCTTTCCAACAAATTAAGTCCCGAATCTCGCTGACCTCGCTCAAGGGCCCGTCCCGGCTGTTGGTGAAGGTTCCTGGCACAGGCTCCCGTTTCTCCTTCCTTCCTCACACTCCTGCCTTTATCGTGTCCTTTTTGTGGGAGCTGCAGAGTCGAAGGCTTTGTCCTTGTCCCCCAGTAGCTTACAGAGCTGGGGGGCCCCGGCCGGGCGGGGTCCCCAGGAGGGGCTCCTGGTGCTGGGGAGGGGGAGCGTTTGGCTCTAAGCAGCGCCGGGGACTGTGGTTGTGACTGACAGGTCCACCGGGCTCAGACTGGGGCAGGTCCCGGTCAATCCCAGCCTGTTCATCGGAGACCTCCTACCCTTCCCCAAAGCTTTCTCAATTCAAAGCGTTGCTTTCGCTGCTGCCCCCATCGCAGGAGACGTGATTTTCTTCCCTGCTTGTAATGCCGGCTCTCGGCACGCCCTGAGTCACTCCACCCTGGCCCACAGACTGCGGTGACACGGGCAGCTGGAATCTGCCTGTTTATTTCCATCGCTTACCTTTCAACCCATGCAGATTCTCCAGAACATCGTGGGCACGGCTCTGATGATTTTGGTGGCCATCGGCTTTAAGACCAAGCTGGCCGCTTTGACTCTCGTCGTGTGGCTGTTCGCCATCAACGTGTATTTCAACGCTTTCTGGACCATCCCCGTCTACAAGCCCATGCACGACTTCCTCAAGTACGACTTTTTCCAGACCATGTCGGTGATCGGAGGCTTGCTTCTGGTGGTGGCCCTGGGCCCCGGGGGCGTGTCCATGGACGAGAAGAAGAAAGAGTGGTAACAGACCCCTCCCCGCCTGGCTGGGACCCGCGGCCGTCGAGGACTGGTTCAGGGTGGATTCGACATAACTGCCAGCATTTCTGTATCCTCTTCCCTCCCCTCCCTTGGTAAAGGCACAGATGTTTTGAGAACTTTATTTGCGGACACCTGATAATTGATGGCTAAATCTGCTCTGGACCCACAACCTGGTATCTGACCGTGCAGAGCCGGCCGGCCCGTGGTCAGCACCTCCCTCCCCAAGGCAGGCCGCGGCTTCTTGGAGTGAGCAGCTTGCTTGGCTGTGGCCTCTCAGTCCTGTTTTTTTTTTGTTTTGTTTCTTTTTTGGGGTGGGGGACCTTCACGCTGTACTGTGAGCAGATACACTTGTGTATCATTCAAAGCAGTCTCCCTCTTATTTTTTTTTAAAGTTTACGTTTTTAGCTCAAACTACTCCATGATTTGGGGTGGCCCAGCCCAACATCAACACACTGGTTCAGGCTCACACCAGTGCCTTCCCCGTTGTTTCTGCCCTGTGTTGTGATACTTTATAGGGACAGTGAGAGCACATAGAGAAACCCCAGACCCAAAACATAAGGCCGCGTTAGAGGGGCAGCCGAGGCTGCCGTCTGCGTTCATCAGGGGCTCGACTTGGATTGGTGCCGTTTTCAGGGGGCGACGCCCTGGGAGCGGTAGTGGCTCAAGGTGCGCATGGTGGCCCACGGGGAGGCTGCCCAGAGCCCCCAGGGACCCGCCCCCCAGGCCCGGCAGCACGCGGGCCTTGGCCGCCCGAGGGCCCAGCTCGGTGGCGGGCAGCTGCCACTGTGGGGCCGGGTCAGAGCGGGGCGCTCAGACCGGTTACCTCACTCTGAGCTGCCCCAGGGCCACAGCCAGAGCCGGGCCGGCGCTGCCCGCTTGTCTCCCCCGCGGGGCTCCCCAGGCCGTGCAGCCACCACTCCCCCATCATCACGAGGCTGCGGCTTGCTCAGATTGTCTGTTTGCTATGCTGAATGCAGCCCAAATTACTTTTTACGATTTGTGATGCCTTACCAATTGGATCTCGATCCTGTATTTCAAGTTTCCTAACATTGCCTTATATACTGTGTTTCTCTTCCTGGGGCTGTGAGTGCTTCTTGCTGTTCTCCGCTTGTCCACCTCCTAGCAATGCCTCTGTGCCTCCCACGGGGAGTCAGGGTCAGACTGACATGGTGAGGCTGGCGAGCTCAACGAGGCCCTCCTTGGAGGCCTCTTGCAAGCCTTGCCTTGGGGCCGATCTCACCTTCTCCGGTTTGCTCAGCCAGGGGTGCAAGCCTGAGGGCCTCCCCAGGGCTGCCGGGGCCAGTCCTGAACCCAGATCCACGTCTACCTTCCAGGCCAGAGCCAGGGTGAGGTGGGGAGCAACCCGCCCCAGCGAAGCCCCTGGTCAGCTTCCCAGGGCAGGGGGGAGGCCGGCTCTTACCCACCAGCGCGCTTGGCACCTCTCCAGCACCCTCCTGTGTCCCCGCCACTGCAGAGGCTCGACCCAAGACGCTCCCAGTCCCTCCCCCAGTGGCCCTACTCCCCGAGTATTTATAAGTTGAGGGCTTTTCTCCTTCAGTCACTGGGATGCTCCCACACCAAGGGGGTGTTCTGACTCAGTGTCACAACCCGGGCAGGGTGGCGTCCTGATCTACACCCCCCCTCCCCGTTACCCCAGCACGATGGCCCTGATGAATGGCGCGCGCGGCCAGGTCGCAGTTGCTCCGTGACACCGTTTTTGGCAGGGTACGGGTCTTCTTCGGCTCGCTGCTAGGAAGACCTTTCTGGTTTGTAAAAACAGATTGACCCTGGTGGCCAGGTGGCGTCGTGGCCACCAGTCCCGCCTCCCCTGGCCCTGCGTGGGCTAGTGCTCGGACCAGGGGTCGATGCCTACTCGGGGAGAAGAGAAAAACAGGATCTACCAGTTGGTTCTGGCGCAACGATTTCTGAAAAATTTTTTGCTTTACGGGGGAGATAGTTATGAATCTCATTTTATGCTGTATTTTATATCTTAGTTGTGTTTGAAAACATTTTGATTTTTGGAGACACGTCAAAATAAATAGTGGCATTTGTTGTATGCAGTGTGATCCTCTGGTGTCGTCCAGCCAGGTGGGGACTGGCCAGGGCTCTCCTCGGTGCCCCCTCCAGGGTCCCTGCTGCTTCCTGGGGGTGGGGGTGAGACCCTGACATCCGCGGGTCAGACCCCCCCGGCCCGGCCTTCTGGGGCAGCAAACGAGGAGTGGACGGACATCCCAGCAGTTGGGAGGACACGCGGCGGGCACCTCAAACAGGAACATGGTGTGGATGCCGGGAGGGCTCTGAAAGGCTCTCAAGATGCGTCTTCTCCAGCGACTTTCCATTGACCTGACTGTTGGAAAGAGCCGAAGCTCTTCGGTTTGCGGTGGTGACTCTTGGGCTTCTTTTTCGACGAGCCGGACTGCTTCTGCGGCACAAACAGAGAATCCCGACCAGTGGAGGCGCTCTGATCTGACGCGGGGGTGCTGTAAGCCCGGCCCCCCCAGTCCCGGCCAGCAGAGAGGAAGAGGCTTTAGTGGAAACTCCTGGGCAGCAAACCAGGAAGCAGCCCCCCGCCCCCATTAGAGCGGCCTCAGCGCTCATCTTACGTATCGTTAGCTTGAGATTTCAGTTGTGAGAAAGGTTTTTTTTTAAAGAAGCTGAAACCACAGCTAAGAGAAGCCGCTGCCACGCCGGCAGCCCTGGGGGTGCACCCCACCTTCCCGCCGGCAGCCCTGGGGGTGGCACCCCACCTTCCCGCGCTTGGGGACCTGCTCCCAGCCCACGGCCTCGCTGTCCCCAGGGCCCGTCTCTCTGCGGCGTCTTGGCTTCTCGTCCTCATCCCCCGTCAGAAAGTCGTCGGTGCTGTCCTCGTGCTCGGTCCCTCCCAGGTCCTTTTTGGTGAACAGCTCGGCTGGAAGGAGCAGAGGTTTGGGCCGTTTTAGGTCGAGTCCACCACCCGTGCCGGGGGTCAGCCGGGCCCAGGACCGGAGGACACACAGCGGGAGGGAGCTGCTCACGGCTGACGGAAACGGCGCGGAGGGTCGCGACCCGAATGCAGAGGATGGGCAGGGGGAGGGGGCGCGTCCCGGCTTACGTGGGTACAGGTCTGTCATGCTGTCGTCACTGTCACTTGGGGCAGCGCCATCATCGCTGGACGCGGGTTCCCAGAAGGCTTCTCTAGGCCGGGGCGGCCCGCCACTGTCCGGCCGGGCTCCCCTCCTCCCACGCCTGTGCCGGCGGCAGGCGGGCGCGAACTCCACGCGCTGCTTCTGGCACTCCTCGTCTGGGAGACAGACGCGCACGCTGCCCGGTTCCTGCCTGTCTCCCCACAGCCCCCCGGGAACAGAGCTGAGCTCCGCCAGGGCCCCCAGAACCCTCCCCCACAGGAAAGCTCGGCAGAGGAAGGTGAGCGCAAGGTGAGCGCCGAGCGCCGTCGCCGGCTCCCGATGGGACAGCAGGGGGCGCATGCGGAGGCGGGCCCGGGGCAGGAGGGGCGAAGGCCTCCCTCTTTTCTTCTCCCCGACCAGGACGCGCCCGGAGCATCTGTTCTCTGGCTCCAGCCGGCCACGGCTGGGAGGGTGCTGAGCGGGCACAGGAAGCCAGGCGAGCCTGTCCCGCGGAAACTGAAGTCCCCTCAGGCACAGCGGCCAGGACCCCCGCTGGATGGCGGGGCTCGGCGGAAGTTGGTGCCTGGCCCTTGCCTACCCTTGGCGCAGAGCAGGGGGCGGGGACGAGGCCTCCACGGAGAGGCCTCGCTGGAGCCACACCTTCCCCTCCTGCACCGAGGACTCAGGGCAGCCGGCTGTTGGAGCTCGCCCTCCATCGGCTCTCACTGTCCCCCAGCTTCGGCCATCGTCACTCACGGGATGGACGAGCCCTGCTGGGCCCCGGCTCTCTCGTCACCGCCCACCTGCGGGGCCCCATCCCCGACTGCCCCTCTGCCGCCCCCTCCACGGCCGCACAGCGGCCCCGTCACCAGCAGAGCGGAGCTCGCGCGTGGCCAGGCGCCCCGGCCCGGCATCGGAACTGCTCCCTACTCGTGGGGAAACCCAGCCCCTGCCCGCCCTCGCCGAGCAGCTGAGCGCAGCTGCGGGCCAGCAAGGTGCCCGGGGGCCCCGTGTCCTGCCTCCGCAGGCCCCTCAGCGCCACGCTCGCAGCCTCGCCTCTTCACTGGGAAGCAAGGCCTCCGGGCTTGTCCTCCTTCACCTTCCTTCCCGTCCCCAGGCCGCCCGCCCCGCCCCCAGCCGCTCCCCCTGCCCCCGCCTCGCTCGCTCGAGGGGCTCGGGCCTCCTGGCCCGCTCCGGCCTGGCTCTGTCCCCACCTCGCCACCTCAGCTGCCTCTGTCAGATCTCAGCTCACTCTTGCGTCCTCACCTGCCCTTCGGGGCCACCTGACGAGGCTACCGCTTCGTCCCTGAGACTTCTCTCTGCCTCAGACACGACCGCACGGGGCTCCTCCGAGCTCAGGCCCCCAGCCGCCCCCCCTGCCCCCGCCTCGCTCGCTCGAGGGGCTCGGGCCTCCTGGCCCGCTCCGGCCTGGCTCTGTCCCCACCTCGCCACCTCAGCTGCCTCTGTCAGATCTCAGCTCACTCTTGCGTCCTCACCTGCCCTTCGGGGCCACCTGACGAGGCTACCGCTTCGTCCCTGAGACTTCTCTCTGCCTCAGACACGACCGCACGGGGCTCCTCCGAGCTCAGGCCCGGCCCTGTCACCCAGCTCCACGGGATGCAGACGCCGTGCCTGTGTCGCTGATCTGCATCATCTGAGGGCCGGTCCGTGTTCTCAACAGTCACCCTCCCTGATCCACCTCCACTTGTAATGTTCGAAGGAACCTGTGCTCTTCCCCAGAAAGCCATTCTTCAGACTCTGCTCTCCCACCCTCGTGACGTCATCAGCCACCAGTTGTCACAACAGGACCCTGGGAAGCACAGCCAGTTTCCCCCTCTTCCTCACTGTCCCCGTCCACTGATTCCATCCACAAAACCGTTAGAAACCTCCCACGTCCTTCCATCTGCCCTGCCAGCACCTGGTGACCCCAGCCACCGGCATCTTCACCTGGGTGACTGCACAGCAACCGGGTGGCCCCTCCCCTCCCCTCTCCCCTGGCAGCAACATGTGATCCCGAGACACAAACAGATCAGGCCAGAGTCCCTGCTTTAACCCTCCCAGGGCATCCCCACTCCACGGCTGCCAAGACCCACTGTGGTCTCGTCCCCACCCGCCTTTCTAACCCCACCTTGCCTGGTGGCACAATGGCCGTCCTCCAGACCCCCCCCCCCCCAGCCAAGCGAAGCACTCTCCCCGCCTCCCAAATCTCAGTCTAAAGAGAAACCCTCCGAGAACCTCCTGCATGAGGCAGGTCCGCCTGCCTTGCTCGGCACTGTCTTCTTCACAGCACTTAACACAACCTGCATCACTTCGGAGGCTGCCTCTGGCTCTGCACCGTCTCTACCGTCGTCCCCCTCTCCTCACTGTACTGGGACCCGACCCACTGCATCCACCAAGTACCACCAAAGGATGCACGGGCTGCCGCTTCTGCGTTCTAGGGGCGCTGGTCCTGGGGGAGAGCAGGCAAGCACCCAGACAGCCGTGTCCCGCCTCGGCTACTTACATTTCTGCAGCGCCCTCTGGTACCGCCGGCCCTGGGTGTGCCTCAGCACGTGCTCCGGGGACTTGTTGATGTGCCGCAGGGTGAGTTTGCAGAACAGCTGGTGCCTAAGGGGACAGTTCACAAGCAAGGATCCAGACCCATGGTTCTCCACCCTGGCCTCCCCCAGACAGACTGAAAGGGGAGGTCTGCCACGTGGCTTGGGCATCAGGATTCTTAAAAGCTCCCAAGCAACTGCAGTCCGCAGCCGGGCTGGAGAAGCACTCATCCAGGCGGACTGTGGCCTCTCACCGTCTACCAAGAAAACAGGCCTCACCAGCCTCGCCGGACTCTGCTCCAGCACGAGAGAGGCACGTCGGCGAAAGCCTGGCAAAGTGCTCCATAGTGGGAGCGTCTGCCATCCCCCTCTTCGTTTTGACTACTGTTGTCAACCGTGCGCTCTCAGCTAAATCAAAGCTCTCCTTTAAACTAAAGATAGGGAAACGACCGCGTTCAGAACCTCAGGTGACAAAGCACAAGCGCTCCAGTCCTCTTGAAGCAGACAGGCCCAGGTGACAGACCTCACGTTTACAGAAAAGCAAACATGCACGGGGGACGGGCCTCACTTGAGATCCCAGGTGACTCACAGCTCCAGGACGCCCACCTGGATCTCAGGTCTCCTATCTCACGGGAGGGTGGGCGCTGCAGAACAGGCCGCGTCTCTGAGGAGCGCTCAGCCAGCGGGGAGGGGTCGGGGCTTTGGAGTCTACCCAGCTCCGGCCAGACTCAGCACTAGGAACTGTCCCACCCTAGGCCTCCCCGGCAGTGCCGGGCCCGCCGCGGCCCGGCCCAGCCACGTACGGGTTCTTGATGCTGGGCACAATGTGCGGCTCGAACTCGGCGTAGTCGAAGGCCGGGGAGGCGCGGACCAGCCGCCGGTACTTCTTGCCGCGGGTGTAGACCTGGAGCTCCGGCAGGCGGCAGGGCAGCTCGTGGCCCGTCAGAGCGCACCTCACCTATGGGCGGGAAGGCGGGACGGTCAGGGGGTCCGGGCGGTCGGGGGTCCCGGGGCCCGTCGGGGGTGGTCCTGTGCCCCCCGCCCACCTTGCGGGCGCCGGGCTCCAGCCGCAGGCTCGGATGCTCCCGCAGGAAGGCGCACACGTCGGCCGGCGGCTCGATCATGGCTCGGCGCGCGAGGAGCTGGAGGCCGAACGTCGCTCGAACCACGTGGGGCCGGGGGCGGGGCCGGGCGGCGCCCCGGAAGCAGATGCCTCCAGGTTCCGGAAGCGCGCTCCCGGGCGGGGCGATGGCGGCGGCGCGGGGGCTGGGGCTGAGCCTGCGAGCGGCGGGGCTGGGGTCGCTGCTGCGGGCTGCGGGCACGGGGCCGGTGAGCGGAGCGGGGTGGCCGGGCTGGGGGCGCGCGCCCGGACTGAACGAGCTCAGCCTGCCCCTTGCGTCTCCGCAGGCCCCGGTCCGCGCCGTCCGGAGGAGCGCCCTTGGGGTCATCTCGCGCCCAGGTGAGGACTCGTCCAGGGATGCCCTCGGCATCTGGGAAAGCCGCCCCGTCCGTCCGTGCCTCCGCTTTGCCGGGGCGCGTGGCGTCGCGATAAACCCTGGAACTGCCGCCCGAGCCTCTGAGTCGGGCCCTGGGTGCGCGCGGGCTCTGGCGGGCGCTGTCGGCCGCGCTGCCGCCCGACACGCTCGGCCCGAGACGTGCCATAACCGCTCCACGGCTCCTCGGGCTGATGCGGGGCCAACCCAGGACGGAAACTGTGTGGGCTCCTAAAGGAAAGCCTAGCTAATCACCACAGTTTGCATGTTGCGTCCAAGGCACAGCAAAGGGTATTTGTCTGTAGAGTGATGTGCATGCACACTGTAAGGCACGTTGCAGGCCTGCTGCAGGCCTGCTTTTTGACCATCCTCCAGACCTGTAATGCTTTCCGTTAATGGGACTCACCCTCTGAGAGCCCAGATGTACTTCCTGTGTTTGTTTTGCCAACTTTAAATTTATGAACGATGAAAAAGAACAGCTGTTCTGAGTTCTGTAAACCACTCTCCTGAGTGTATCACATTCAGTCTGCAGAGCACAGTAGCCCGTACCCGTGCACCTTCATGACAGGATACATCTCAGCATATTCTTGCACAAAAGGCGTGAGGTGGTTCCATGAATTACCCAGGGTCATGGTTGGTGGCAGAGCCAGGACTAAGCCCTGGATCTCATTCAGTGGGTGAATGTCCACTGAGTGGGTGTCACGCGCTGGGCACTGGGTTAGGAGCTGGGCTGGACGCAGGTGCTGCTGGTGGGCTCCCGACTGCACGTGGTGGCCTGGGCCCTCTTCCTGTATCACGTTCTCCCCGGTAGTCATGGCAGCTTCAAGGAGTTGTCTGCTCCAGTTCTTTGTTCCGGGGCTTCCGGCCCCATATGCCCGTGTTGTGACATCTACTAGGGTTGGTCTGGAGGCCCAGCAGGTGTGGCAGCTCTTCAGCCGAAGCAACTGCCGCAAAAACGGAAGACGACTCCTTCCTCCAGTGGTTTCTGCTTCTCATACCTGTGACTGCCTTTGGCCTGGGGACGTGGCAGGTAAAGACTGACTTCTCGTGCTCCTGGCTGTGAGCCCTTGACTCTGCTGCCACCCGCTCGGGCTTATGCCCTGTGTCCATAGGTCCAGCGCCGGAAGTGGAAGCTACAGCTGATCGCAGAACTAGAGTCTAGGGTTATGGCCGAGCCCATCCCGCTGCCCGCAGAGTGAGTGTGTGTGGCTGCCCCCCGGGGGCTGGGGCTCAGTTGAGGCCAGCAGTGGGGCCTGGCTGCTGCCTGCTTTCCTGACCCTGACGGGAGCCCTCAGAATCAGTGGTCCTGCTGGGCTTCCTGTTGACACCCGACTGCCCTTGTGAAGCTGCCTGACATAAGTACACAGACAGATCTTTGAACCTGGGTTTCGTGCCTTTTCCAGGCCCAGTGTAGCTGAGGGAGCCCCCCACAGTGCTGACGGCTTTCTGCAGCAGTAATTCTTAGCTGGAGGGGAGGGCACGCGCATGTCAAGTCTGGACATGAGAATGGTACTGTGAGAAAATACGCAGGCATTCGACTGCCTTCTCCCCTCATTTAAAAGCACTGTCCTAGGAATTCCCTGGTGGTCCAGTGGTTAGAACCCCAGGCTTCCACCGCAGGGGGCCCTGGTTCCATCCCTGGTCAGGGAACTGAGATCCCACAGGCTGTGCGGCACAGCCAAAAAAAAGGCACTGTTCCTAAGAGTGCCAGCTAAAATCACAAAGCTTTCCAGACAGAGGAGCAAACAAGTGGGTCACGTTCGGCTTGCAGATGACGGTTTTGGCCCACGTATTTTATCGTGTTCACACAGGAGGCTCCAGCTTTAAGCTTGTCTTGAAAACGTGGACTGTCGGGCAGCACAGATCCACGTTCCCACGTGGCATCAAAGGGATCAGCTTCCCCCTTTGGAGGGCACATCACGCAGACCCCACTGTGGCGGTGTGTCCCCTTCTACATTGCTTCTCAGGCCACGGTGGGCTTCGTGGTTTGCAGACCCTTGAGAGGGTTTGTCTTCCTGCCAAACCTTGCTTGGTCTCAGCTCCTCCCCTCTCTTGTAGCCCGATGGAACTGAATAACCTGGAGTACCGGCCAGTGAAGGTCAGGGGGCACTTTGACCACTCTAAAGAGCTGTACATGATGCCACGGACCATGTTGGACCCAGCCCGGGAGGCCGGCCGGCTCTCGTCGGCGGCTGAGAGTGGTGCCTACGTGGTCACTCCCTTCCACTGCACTGCCCTGGGGTGAGTGGGACGCGGGGGAGCTGACCGGCCTGGCAGATGCGGTCCTTCCCATCTCCTTCCTTCTCAGCCCCCAGCCCTGGGAAATCCAAGAAACCCAGATAAGCTCGACTCCTTGGGAGTTTGAAATGTGTAATTCTGACATTATTAAGCCAATTAATTTATTACTGAACAACGTCTGCCTGTTGAGCTCTGAAGGAAGGAGAGGTGAACGAAACAGTCCTCTTTGGAGAAAACCGTCTATGAGTGGCCCACACGTTTAGTGCTTAGGATGCAGCCTGAGGGGCCAGCAGAGGAACTCAAGAGAAAGGAACCCCCAGCCCTGCAGGGAGGGAGTCGACTCGAGGAAGGCTTCCTGGGGGCTCTTTGGGTCAAATAGTGAGTGAGGAGATGGGCGGAGTATCCCAGGGGAAGGAGATGACATGTACACGATGGGGGCTCTGCAAGTGCAAGACCGGTAAGTAGAGCAGCTTCCCAACGGTAACATACAAATGAAACCCCAGGTCCCTTGTCAGCCCCCAGCTTTCTGGTTTTAGGTCTGGGATGGGCCCCGATGCTGCGGCTCGGGGACTCCCCTGGTTAGGATGGGAGATTGTGGGCAGACGCGCGAGGCAGTAGTTGGAGGCGGCGGGGCAGTGTTGGTCATTGGCTGCATGTGCAGCAGGTGAAGCACAAAGCAAGCGGAGGCTGCTGCTGCTGGTGACAGCGGCGGCGCAGAGGCCACAAACCTACAGCACTCACAGGGTCGGAGGCACCCCCTCGCCCCCTCCAGCTAGCCCGTAAACCCTCACCCGTGCTGTCGTCCAGGAGGGAGGTGCCAGAATGACCATTAGTGACCCCCTTTTATTCAAAAACAGTCCCCTACCTGAAACAGCGTGCTCTTACTACTCTAGAATCACCATCCTGGTAAATAGAGGGTTTGTGCCCAGGAAGAACGTGAATCCAGATACGCGGCGCAAAGGCCAGGTGAGGGGTGTGAACCCGTCCCCCTGTAGGAGCCAATCCAGGCTCCATGCAGGGCCCCACAGAGCATCTCACACCTTCCCGGGCAGGTTGAAGGAGAAGTGGACCTAGTCGGGATGGTGAGGCTGTCAGAGACCAGGAAGCCCTTTGTTCCCGAGAACAATCCTGCGAGGAACCACTGGCATTACCGGGACCTGGAGGCCATGGCCAGGCTCACAGGCGCAGAGCCCATCTTCATAGACGCCGACTTCAGTACGTTGTGAGCAGCCCACCCCCGAAGGCCCTGGTCTACCTTCCTCTTGACCCTGGACAGCTCCCTGTCACTTCCGCCCCAGCGCTTGTGTTGGTGGAGCGGGAGTGTGCTTGACAGGCGCTAAGAGGAGGGCGACACGAGGGGGCTGGCTGACTGGCCACTAAGTGCCAAGCAGCTGGTAGCACGGGCCCCGGTGAGGACACAGCCCACTGTCCCCGCAGAGAGCACAGTCCCTGGAGGGCCCATTGGAGGGCAGACCAGAGTGGCCCTGAGGAACGAGCACGTGCAGTACATCGTCACCTGGTGAGCCCGGGCTCCGCCCACTCCTGCTCGCCCCGCCTTCCCCTCAGCCCCCACAGTGCTCGCTCACTTTCTTTCAACCCAAGGTACGGACTCTGCGCGGCCACCTCGTACCTGTGGTTTAAGAAATTCCTAAGCCGGACTCCTGGTGTGTGACGAGGTTGGCGGGTGTAGCCCTGTCGCTGAACAGCTGAAGCCATTTCGAGAGATTCGACTTTAGACTGATAACGTGTAACTGGTATAAATAAATCTCTACACCGCATGTGTAGCGCCCTCCTTCTACCCAAATGAACTAGTCGATCTAAGATCCCGGGCTTGGTTCAGAGTATTCAAGGTATTCAAGTACTGCTTGGCCTTTTTAAAACTGGACCAACACACAAGTGCTACCCTATGAGGGATAAGGACGCGGGGTTTACTTGCCACTGTCCCAAACTTTTAGCGCAAAATGTCCAACACTGGCTGAAGAGGAGGTTTTTTATTATTATTATTTATATGTACAGGAAAATCAATAGTGTACACTTAGCCCAGTTTGGTGGCCAGTTCTTTGGCCTTTGCCTTTTCCAGCTTGGCGATGCGAGCCACTGATTTGGGACCCAGGATGTTGCCTCCCCAGTGACGGCGGATCTGTAACAAGAAGACGGGCAGTCAGCCTGGCGGGTCGTTTCACACACTTCTATTAGGTTGTTCCAAGTTGACTGGCAAATACAACTGCTCAGAAAGAGCCGAGCGCCAGGCAGTTTCTGACTAAAGATGCAGCTTTTACCAGAAGACAGTATTCTGTGTGAGTGTGCTACCTACCTCATCATATCTGTCGTTGTAATTGGTCCTGATGGCTTCCACCAGCTTAGCCAGAGCACCTTTGTCTTCCCTAACAAGGCAGAGAGGAAAATGGGGGTCATTGGCCTCTCAGTTACCCTTCCAGAAAGCAGCAACGACTCCCTTTGTAGCTCCAACACAAACCACCTGCCTCAGATAACAACACGACAACATGGTTTATTCAGGTGAAGAAATTCATAACCATCATCGGCAAAGGTTCGGAAAAAAGTATTTTTTTTTTCTCTTTTCTTCTTTGTGCGGCACGCAGGCCTCTCACTGTTGTGGCCTCTCCCGTTGCGGAGCACAGGCTCCGGACGCGCAGGCTCAGCGGCCATGGCTCAAGGGCCCAGCCGCTCTGCGGCATGTGGGATCCTCCCGGACTGGGGCACGAACCTGCGTCCCCTGCATCAGCAGGCGGACTCTCAACCACTGCGCCACCAGGGAAGCCCGAAAAAAGTATTTTAAGGTTGGTCTTTAAGCTAAGATCCCGAGAAATTAAGCAAACTTGGGGGTGGGGGAAGGTTGTCCCCTAGTGATTCTTGGGAATTCTGGGCTACACTGCACACTTACGAGTTGACTTGTGTGAAGGCCACTGTGGTGCAGGTCTTCCTGTGGACCAGACGCCCCAGCCTGGCCTTGCCCTTGATGATGCAGTAGGGAACCCCCATCTTACGGCACAGGGCAGGCAGGAAAACCACCAGCTGGAAGACAGCGTTAGCTCTAGAGGGTATCTTGAGCGAAAGCAGTAACTTAAAAGCTAACGTGGTAGCAATTGCTCAGGGTTAAAAGGCTCCTGCACTTGTACTTTCAAGGTTTAATTCAGTGAGAGTGTCACATCATTGCAATAGCCACGAGGTGGCTCCCTTGTCAGGACTCCTTAGACGGAAAGCTGACAATGCTCTCCACCCTGCTAGGGCCTCTGCCAGACCGAGTATTTAGCTTTGAGCTGTCTTCCTGGTACAAACAAGGACCCAACCAATCTCAGTCCAGCAGTCGACGCTTGAGGACAAGTCACACGTACCTCGATGGGATCCACGTCATGTGCGATTACCACCAGCTGAGCCTTCTTGTTCTCCACCAAGGTGGTGACAGTATTAACCCCTAGAACATACAACCAGTCTGCGTGGCAGAGGGGTGGGGCTGCCAGGCACAAAAGCACTTGTACCGGGGGCCCCGCTATGACTCAGGGTTAAAAAGCTCGGATTTTACTCTTCACGGTTGATTCCAGGTGAAGAAATTCATGCATCATCGCCAAGAGCCTGCCCCACCATTCAGCCTCTTCAAGAAGGGGCCCACTCACCTGCTCGGAGGACAGGTGGCCTCTTGGTGGGGACATCCCCTTTGCCTGCAGCTTTCTTCTCAGCTCGGGCCAGCAACCTCTGCTTCTTTGCTTGCTTTGTCTCTGGTCTGTACTTGTGGGCCAGCTTAAGCAGTTGAGTAGCTGAAAAAAAGACCGCCAGTCCAGGTCGACAGTTTAAAAGATTACATCACTTAACCGTAACAAATGCTAGGTCACTGTCCTGAACAACTGCACTTCAAAAGATCTCAGGTCGTATACGTTATCTCTTCATTATATCACGTTCTGGAAACGAGAGAAGGAGTCCTAAGTTTTAATAAACTAACGTACTGAAGATACCCACTGCCCCTTTACAGGCCTCAGCTCTACCAGTGTCCGAGTAAAGGTGGCAACCATGCCCAAGAAATCCCTTCCCCATGTTGCTTTTGTGCCACAGAACCTCACCTGTTTGGCGGTCCAAGGCCTGGGTGAATTGGTTAATCGCGGGAGGCACTTTCAGCCGCTTATAGAGAATAGCCCTTTGCCGCTGCAGGCGGATGTAGCGGGGCCATTTGACAAAGCGGGTGAGGTCCCTTTTGGGCTGGATGTCCTGTCCTGAGAAGTAAAGGGCAATAATGTGAGGCTCAAACTCCCCGTCCAGTTCGTGTTTAGGGCCGCTCAGAAGGGCGTAGGTGCATCAGCGATCTCGGTGCTTTAAAATGGCATCACCACCTCTCAGACAGCAAACATTCTTTTGCATCACCTGCACACAAACACCTAGGATCACAGGATACACTAGCGACACCTCTGCTCATTCAACAAGCAGCCAAGGCGTGCGTCACTACCGCAGTCCCATCGCCTCTGCTCTGGCGGACCTTGTTTCGCGACGGCCCAGCTGAATCCCAAAGGCCCGAGATTTAGCTTTGAGCTGTCTTCCTGGTACAAACAAGGACCCAACCAATCTCAGTCCAGCAGTCCTGGACTGAGCAGTATCTGGGCTCCACACTGCCACACGCTCAGGCGCTTACAGTGCGGCCACGAAGGATGCGCCGTCACTGCCCGCCTCTCAGAGGGAGAGATTAAGAACCGAGCCGGGTTACAGCTAAAGAGCGGCAAAAACGCGAGAATCCCCATCCAAGTAGCCTCGACTCCAAACCCACGGAATTCTAGCAAGGCCAACACGTAACCTTCTGTTCAATAAGCTGCTTTCCTTCGTTGGGGGGGATGCCATTTAAGCAGCCGTTCTCAGCGTCTCCCGTCTCTTACTCACCAATGCCAAAATTCTTGGGCCTTTTCTCGAACAAGGGGTTGACCACCTTCTTGGCCTCCTGCTTCTTCACCACCGCAGGGGCCGGGGCCACCTTCTTACCCTTGGCCTTCTTTCCCTTCGGCTGGGCAAAAGGAAACACCCGGTTCAACCGCCGCCTCCCCAGCAGTCTCTCCGAAGAGGGGTGGGGCCCGAGCCGGCCCCAAGCATCCCCGTGAGCAAACCTGGCCCCAGCCGCAGGCGCCGCGAGCCCGGCGACCGCCCACCCCCCCCGCTCGTGCATCAGCGATCTTGGTGGTTAGGGACGTCCTCACCATCACTCAGATAGCAAATATTCTTTCACATCATCTGCACGAGCCTCGACAGCCCCGCGGCCCCTTTCGGAGTGCGGCGGGCTCCAAACAGCAGAGGCAGACAGACTGAGAACCCCCTGCCCAAAACCCCAGGCGGCCCCCGGGACGGAAGAGCCCCCGGGGAGCTGGAGCGCCTCGGCCCCGTCAGCCTCGAGCCCCGCATGGCGGCGCGGCGCACCCCGGATCCTCCTCCTCCCCCGGCCCGGCTGCCGAGGAGTCTATGCGGCCCCAGTGCCTCGAGGCGAGGCCCCGCGGGGCTCCTCTCGCGCTGGGCGGTGGAGGGATCCCTGCGCCATCACGCCTCGAGAAGGATGGCAGCGGATAGAGCCCGGATCCGAGAGCCAGCACCGCTGACACCAAGAACACTCACCATCTTGAACGGTTGGCGGAGAAAGAAAGGAAAGGGAATTGTGGGTAATATGGATGCGACCTCGGAGATCGCGAGAACTGAAGCCTGCGCGGGATTTCGGATTTAAAGCGACAGGACTTTCTCCCGCCAGGCGGGCGGTGCCTAGAGCCGGACGACGGATCTGAGCTGCTGGAAAGTGGCGCGGAGAGGCGCCGGGGCGCCGGAACTTCTCCGGAGGGACGCGCGCTCGTTCCCAGCCCGCCCTGGCCAGGTACCCGCCGGTCCCCGGCTCTGCGGACCAGGTGTGGGCGTTGGGGCGGCGTGGCGGCGGTGTCGGCGATCTTCTCTTGCGATTTACTCCAAAGTGGCTTAAGAACCGCGAGTTCGGTCGGGGGGGCCACCCGGACCGGAGCACGCGCAGCCCGGAGGCACCTGGCGCGGGGCGGGAGGGTGGTCCCAGCAGATACCCCGGAGCGCAGGAGCCCAAGAGGTTCCGTGGGGCGGCCCCCGGGGGTCCCGGCGTGGAGACGAGGGCGGCGGATTGGGGGTGAAGGCCAAGGGCGTTTGGAGGAGGTGGGGTAGGATCCGAGCGGCTCCTCGGGTGAGGAGTAGGGCAGAAGTGCTGGCGGGGAAGCGGCTGGCCAGGGCACGTGGGGGACGTTCGTGGGCCTGGCCTCTGAGAAGGCTGCGCCGGAGCCCATCAGGGTGTCGTCGGGGTTCCGGGGAAGTGGCGCGGGCCGGAGGAGACGCCGCAGTGCACTGTGTGCGGATGCTTGGACGAGTGTGTTTGGCAGAAAGGGAATCCCCGGAGAGCTGCGGGTCCTGCCGAGGCGGGGGCCTGGAGGGTGGGAGGCTGGGGTTCGCTCGCGCACACCAGACTCTGGGTCCCAGGTGCCCCCTGCCGTGCCCGAGGCCCCGCCATGGCCCAGCAGAGAGCCCTGCCGCAAAGCAAGGAGACGCTGCTGCAGTCTTACAACAAGCGGCTCAAGGATGACGTCAAGTCCATCATGGACAACTTCACCGAGATCATCAAGACCGCCAAGGTCGGTGGGGGCCGCCGGTCCGCTGCCCCTTCTGAGACCGAGGGAATTACCA